ACAGCCAGTGCATTTATTTGGATTATCTTGAGACTAAGAAATTTAAAGGTAAATTAGTCAAGGTTAGGGTATGGACTCTGAGGTTTATAAAACGTCCCCGAAAGCAATAACTATGTGATATTATAAACATAAAAAAACATTGGTAATAGGATCTTGTATAATTTAGAGAAATTTATGATTAATAAGTAAGCAAATGGCTCCTCAATATAGAACGCAATACTTAAGATTAGCTTCCAGTTTTTTCCGCTTCGATCCCTTTTTGCCGGACTTGGCGGGCATGATAACAAACTTTACCGCTGCTTCAGATACGTCTGAGAGCTTTTTGTTTATGTAACCCTGCTTTAGGTACACTGCAGCAAATCGCATTTATTAATCTGTTTATCGTAACCATATTTTATTTTCTCTCAGTGATCACGTTGATTCAAATTGGATTTAAAATGGCTGAGGCATAGTTGGAGAATCAAAATTCAGCCTACATTTTTCAAGCTTACTATTTTCTTTCTTCTAAACTTTAATTTTTTTTAATCATCTGAGCTCCTTTTCGGTTTATTCATACCTAATTGACGTTTGTCGACCAAAGTGAAGGTTTTTATTTTAAGGTTTTAACAAATACTGAAAAAAAATCTTGAATCGTGATTTGACTTTGACTTTGGCAAAGAGTCAAGTAGAGTTCAAAATGGAAGAGCCAGCTCCAGTCAAACCGAGTGAGATAGGGAAGCAACCACACCATTTCAGACTGTCTCATACAACCACTTCCACAACGTGGCATTTTGCCAGTGTCCATGATGATGTCAGCAAAAGCTTTAAACCGTTCGACCATGGTACTATCCAGACCTAAAGCTTGAATTAGAGCTGAAGCTTTTGTTTCATTATATTTCCGCGATTAAAATATGCCTACTTCCTTGACTCTCCGTGAATTTATTTTTGGACATGTGATTTATAAAGTGGCTAACGTTCAGAAATAGCAGGATCACTGTTTTTCTTATCATGCTAACTTCCCCCCAACTCTTAATCTAATCTCAGTGCTAAGGAAATCCTGTTTTAGACGTGTTATAAGTTCGGACAACGGAGCAAGCTCAGCCTACTTGTCATGATTACGAACTCTGTCTTTGAGCGTTATAAAAATCAAAGTTCACCAGACACAGTCGTTAAGATAAGAATGTTCTTGACGAAAGTAGGACAATTTTCGCATGAAAACAAAATGGGGAAAGGCATACCACCAATGAGGCTCCAAATCGGATAGGAGTTACGAATATGTACAATGGAAGGTATCGTGTGTGATAAGCCTGAAGTAATCAACTCAAGGTATGGGCTCCATCTGTTTTTGTCACGTACGACCGTAAAAGCTGCGATACTCCCAGTTGTGGGTAACTATGCTGTGTGGCATTTCGAATTTACACCCACGCGAGAGTCAAATCTTTCAACCTGTCTACTTCCGATAACCCTTGCCAGATGCGAAAAAAACAGTTGTTTTCACAAAACTCCTATAAGCTTGGCAAGGAACTGAGGAAATATCTTAATGAAGAATCAAAACTGTCTCATGATTTTGGCCTGCACTTTAAGTAATCGTTTCGGAACCGGGAGCGTAATTTAGATGATGACTCATATTTCAGTATGATTGGTGGAAAGGCCTTTTAGCACTGCCTTAGATGAATCATCACTAGCTGTTGTCATCTATGGTTAAGCATGCGTTATTGAATTGTGTTGCTCAGTGTTATAGGTTGGAGGGAACAAGAAGTGTGAAAAACACGAGGTATCGGAGGTATAGCTTTTACTTAACGTACATTTGTATAGCATCTATAATTTAAAGACAGATGAAATCTACTCGGTGAAGTGATTATAGTTAGCTACAGAACTTTAAGTTCATTGTCATGACATCAGTGAAGGACTGAGCATGTTTATAAATTCAAGACTGAAAGCCCACCGTACAGGCCCTCGCACAGGTGCATACAAGTAACTGGCACCGAATAATTTGAGCCTTATGTGACTCAAAACGATTTTTCAAAGTTTTTCTGCCGATGGAAAAATATCTTTATTTCAGTTCAAGTTATGAAGAAAATTAAGCTCTCAAAATCACAAAATGCTCATAGGTTTAAGCGTAATTAAGTGTTCCGGATGTGGTTGCGTATTCTGGATGATGTGGGGATTAATATCAACCCAGACCGTGGTAAAAGTATTTTCGAATTGACGCGTACTTTATGAAACAAGTACGTCGAAGCTCCTTCTAGTAAAGAAAAATCCCGGTTTATATATATACTTATCTTTTAATCAACACTGGTTCAAAATATGTCTGTATTCATTAAGTTGCCGATTACTTCTCATCGTCGGAATTGCTTGATAAGCTATTCAAAGATCCTAATCAAAATATAAATCCGCCACTTGTACCGGGTCACGCTATTTTGTTTAAATCAGGTCAGTTTTAGACGCAAAAATAAAGATTTACCTCAAAGATAAGGCGGGTGACAGGAACGAATACATTAGAAACCCTACTTTGGTAGGTCAGATAACAAATCAAAGCCAGTTTGTATGGCAGCTATGCTCATAAAAAGACGCAGAGTCACAAGTCGCACCTAAGTCATCTGGAGTATTTTATTGAATTTTTTTACTTTTCTTTGCATGCGGTAAATGTCGGAAATATCCACCGTCAGTTGTAAGAGCTTATTCTCCTAGCGTTACCCACGTGGAGTTTCCTAGAAATACGCGACAAATGAAAACTGGAGGTAGAACTGTAAACACGTTTGGGTCATTCCATCATGTCATTTTTGCGGTGCATTTTCTCTTTCGCCTTCGCTTGGGAAGAAAGCATAAAAGTTTAAAAAAAAATCTGCAAGTCAGTAGTTGATGTATTCAGACAATCTCAAGATGCTGAACGTTCAAAGCGGTGAGGCCAAATTGGCGCCCAAATTTTACAGGAAAACCTCTTTTATCGATTAAGTGCCCAACCAATTGATATTACTTCCTTACTAAATCTGCATCTCCGGTCTAGTTTCGCATGGCGGTTTGATCCTAATACATCACAATTTGCATTACAAGGACAATTTCATTCCTCTGGTAGGATGAGGAAGTACCGCCTTCAACAGAAATCTTGTTTTCACAGCTCAGCAATCAACTTAGGACGTCCAACCCACATACTTGAATTGTTTATTCAGGAACGCTAGAAACTGGAATTTTGCATTTCGTGAGGTACAAAATGAAAGAAGCTTGATATGCGTGAATTGTCATAGCATGGAACGATAGGAATTCACCTTGGAGACGCAAAACGATAACCCGAAGTAAATAGTTCCTAAAAGAGGGCTTTTAAGATCACGCATTCGTGTGTTATTCTTTAATACGATTATCACGTACATTGTACAAGATTATGGTTAGCTTCGCGCTTAGTACAAAGGCGAAACCATGATAGTTGATAATTCAGTGATTCGCGCGTCAATTTAAGTTCTTAAATATCTCCTAAACTCAATTTGAAAGGTTTTAAAAGAACAAAGCACCCTCTTTTTTTTAAAGCTTAGACGACCAAATGCGAGTGCCGCGAGAAAAAGAATTAACGTACGTCATTCAAATTTCGTTTGGTTTTGCTCAACTTCAAGAAAAGTTCGAATGCAAATGCATGAATCAGTTCACGGCTACCTACGTGATTACCTCTGTTTTGATAGTTCTGGCACGTGCGACCAACTGTTTGGATAAAAATTGAGGAAGAGTGTAAGCTCATTTCCGTTGGTTTTACTACAAAAAAAGATCACGTAAAAAAACTGAGGCAGCTCGCCCTGAGCTTTTGGAGTCTTATGCCAGTAGGCACTATGACGTCAGAGTGACATGGCTAGCGCCCGCAGTCGCCGAGGGCTTTTGAAAGAAAGTCTGGATGAGGCAAACAGAATTTGTTTTAGAATTCCGGGTATTCCCATACCATTTGTTAAAGTAGCTGCTTAGGTTAGTTTCCTTGTTGACTCCAATGGGAGTTAACAAGCCCCCCCCCCCTCCCCACAAACATACACACACACACACACCCCACTTGAAAACGCAGTGCCAGACCAACAACTGATGATACTTTCCCGTATTATCCTTTTCTGTTTTAGATTATTGAGACTAATTTCAGTGAACACGTAATTTTCTATGCAGAAATTCTTCTTACCATGTGTGATTTGAATTTATCTGAGTATTTTAGGACGTAATCTCTGAATTGCAGGTGCCTTTTCGGCAACACTTAACATACCTGCCTGTGCGCTCTGTTGTTTCTAATTAGGGATCCTGAGCCTCTTACCATTGCTGAGACCACTAAACAAAAATAATAAACATGGTTTATTCTTTGGCTGTGCATTTGTGTGTTATGCTTTCCAAGTGAGGAAGACGATCTGCTTATTCAATAGCTAAATATGCATTTCTTGTTAGAAAGATCACGAAGGTAATGAGTCACGATGTCCGATGATGTCGTCACGTAAACACTCAATGTCTCGCACGTGTGATAATATTCAACATTATTAGCCTACGATAAGCTATCCGTAGATAAATCCTTTGAGTACCAATTGCTTGTTGTACATTAATTGTTGTAAATTAATTGTAATGTTCATCAAGTGTGTTCTTCCTCGACAAATTGCATATAACAATCACAAGCAGCGGTGAACTGAAAGGTTTTAACACCTTAAAACGTTTTCCACCTTTACGGTCGAGAGCCAAGGGGGCTTTTCAGGTACTTATTTTATATTGGCATTTTGATATCGAAGCATATTCTGTCGACAAAGGTCGTACTCAAGAACCTTAAACTTCTCTCTTAGTCAATACTGTTTGCTTAGTTAGAACGTTCTGATGGAAACAAAATCATTAAAACAAACATCAACTGAAATCGTTTACCTGAGAAACCCTACGCCTGAGGCTATAAATCATACCCTCGGATCAGAATTGACACTGCAGGTCACATTGGGTGACCCAATCTTACTTAAGAGCTACGTGCTTGTGGTGTTTCCGGACGTATACAGAAATTTTGCCTGGAATCCGAAATTGCTACCCTGTTTCATCTGAATGATTGAAACGATATGCCTTTTTAAAAAGCACGCAACCAAACGTATAGTCACTCATAAAGCAACTTTATCCGCTCATCTGAGCACGATTCAGTACTGCGGCGAAATCAAGCAAGCCTAGTCAGCCTCTTGTATTATGAAAGAAGCACAGTCCTCGCGGGACACGATTTAATCCCTATCAGAGACAACATAGGGTAAACTGGTTGATAACTGAGTGGTGTGAATACAAGACAGTTTGTGGAGCAAATCCACTTATTTTCAAGAGGCTCTGCCCCTTGGTATTCGGTAACCTCATCCCAGGGAATGGTCTAACTGACGCCACAAGGAGACAACTGGGAGTATTCTTGCTATTGTTTTCGGTTGTTGGTCGCAGGGGCACACGTGGAAGGTTAGATATTTCATGGTTACCTTGTTATGCGTATCGTTTAGTGCATTTAGGCCGAGGAAAATACTTTCCTGACACTGACTTTAAGGAATGAGAGGGCTCTGAATAAGCGCAGATCGTATTATTGGAAGTGACAAGTGGCTCGTTCGTCAAGAGATCGAACAGCAGGCATAGTAATAAGGCGTATCACACTTAAAAGACGAAAATTATTGAGCTGTTTAGCAACCTTATCAATCTTCCACTCAAAAGCAAAAGTAAGTGATAACTTAATGGTCAATGCTCTAGAAATTTATATCGCTGAAGTTTACTGTGTGTTATACGTTTTCCTTGCATTTCATCACTGCCTCTATCAAATTTGCGAATGACTCGACTGTTTGGAATCTTATTTTGTGATCCGATTTTTGTTATTTCTTGATTGCTTAAAAAGCGGATGTGGCGGACTTGTTTGAGATACATATCATGACATTTTATTCATAATACATTACTTGTCAATCGGAACCGCTTATATGTTAAAATACCGTCGTAATTGCTATAGCCGCCGCGTGATGAGCTAAATGGGTCACAAATGAAAAAACAAACTAATGCCCTCCATGTGAATATTTTCTGACCTCAGGTTAATTACATTTACTTGAACATTGGAGGGCTAAAGTTTCAAGGTATATTATTGGTCGGCGAGTATAGGAATAACTGTTGAAACAAAAGCACCACAAGTGTTGTTTACATCGTGTTACTGTGATTACTGGAACTTAACGTAAAATGCGCAGATCATAAAAAACATTTGTTTTGGTTGTAGGTCAGTTCATTTTAAATATTCTTGAAACAAATACCTGTAAAAGCGCCTCAGTCATAGCCGAATGGAAATTCATAGTTTCTAAACGGGTTATAGCGTAACACGGATCAGTGCTATATGTTTATTGCACAGTATGATTTTCATGTTTTTGAGGCGGGAGGGAAATGGCGGTTCAGGTGTTTCAATAATCTCTTGATATAGAAAATACAAGTGTGGATAAGAGGGCTATTGGTTCAATAGGAACAGTGTAAATCGTCCTAACTAATGATACGCAGTTGGGACTAGAAATGTATGCAGCATTGTTTAAAACCCCTCAATGACAAAGACTAGTAATATCCCATAACAAGATTAGTTGCAGATATCAATTAAATGGTTATTTAATATATCATTTAGTACAGTGAAGAATGAAATTTTGAAATAGAGCTATGAATCCTTACCATCACTTGCTTCAATTATTTACATCTACAAAGAGAGGTTCGTGATTAAAAAAGTCAGTGAATTAATTAGCGAAATGACATTTCCTCTTTTTGCTGCTGTTGTTGTTTCAAGCAATGGCACATAAGCTGAAAGTGCTATACGAAACAAAGCCCCGTCCTTGGACTATTTAGTAGGATAATTATCGACAAATATTTGGCACAAGTAATGCATTTAGAAACAAACTATATCTGACGTTGATCGATCGATCAATTTTTGACATGCGCTTTTTAATCATTAGCACGACTGCCTAAAGGAACTGGCATTGTAATCCTTTGATCCCCCTTTTGAAAACGGAGCATGCAGATTTCGTCTCTTGTGCCGGAAACCTTTCTGAAATCTATGTATACATCGTACAGATTATATTTATGAAGAGATTGTCGATGAATATTTTCATAATGAAAATCTCATGAGGTTATTCTCTTGAGGTAGTTTCCCTTTGTAGTCACTGGTAAACAAGTTTAATTGCTCGCTAAACCTTTTGAAAAATATCGTCACCATAACAGAAGACTCCTTTTCACTCGCTGTGAATTCTTTTGTCGTGGCCGAAATCCTAATGGCTTTGGTGGTTTTTCAAACAAAAAAAATCATTTAACTCCAGAGTAATTGAAAGTCAATAAACCATGGATATGCTCGTCCATCTTAGCCGCACCGATAGCCACTAGATCGCAGAGTATGTACGCTATTTTTGGGTGATTCATTATGAACTCGAAACATTTAATAATAAAAAATTGCTCTTTTTTTTGCAGAGGTAGGACCTACATACTAAAGTGAAGCTAGAAGAAAAGGGAGTTAAAGAAAGGAAGAACCTCGACAGCACCAATATTCCCAGAAAATGACAAATTCCTCGTTAGAAAATGAAGGTAAGGAAGCTTTTACCTGTTTAAGAAGCTACATTTGTCATTTTTAGATGAAATCCGATTAAACTGGCTTAACGTGACGAAACTTTAACTGAGAATCTTTAACTATGACCAACTGACATGTGCAAGCGGGCATTTCATTTTACTTCACATAAAAACTCCCTTCTTTTGCAAGCGACATTAAAACACTAAAGTAGCTGATGTAAGTTTAACTTAGACTTGTTTCAGAAGATGCATGCATAAGAAACAGAATGACTGCTCAATCTCAGCAATCGAAAGTATGACCAGTGAATGATCGATGTCTTAAAGTATGCTATATTTTATCTCATTAAAGGCTTACAATAGCTGCCAAAAGAACTTTACGGAACTGAAATTGCGTTCATTCTTTATATCTATTTAAGTCTTCGATGGGAGCTGCAAATCTTTGAAATGTCAAACTTTGTACTCATGAAGATTCGGCTTGCTGAACTGGCCGATTTTAAGTTTGTCACAACGACAATGTCAAGATATTTTCAGAGTGATATAGACTGGTACGAATTGGTCGTAAAGACTGATTACTTTCAGCATGGGGCCATTGATTCCCCCATTTTGCGTCAGTAGGGATAAGTCCCAACTTTATAAAGTAATAAAGCTTACTAGATTCTCTAATTATCTCAACAAATATGTATGATGAAGCGAGTATTGCTGTCAAAGCTTTCGTCGATAAGTTCGCGTGCATGACGTTTGCAATATTGAAACCAGGACTGACCAAATGGACATCACAGAATAGCCTCAGGCTGATAAATGTAATATCATTCACATTTATCCACGCCGATTACTTACCAGCTACAGAGATAAAATAGTGACAAATGAGCAAACGCAACGGCGTGTTGTGCTGCAGGGGGATCGAATTGTCTTTCGTAAGCATGAATACTAAGTGGGTCAGAGGTCGTTTCGGCCGCTAGAAAACTTCAAAGTGTAATGAAATCCCGCTTGCTAAGGACCTAAAAAGTCCCTTTGTGCGTTTTGTTTTATTTACTCATAATTTTGGTGCTAATGATAACTATTACTGCAGCCATTAATCTTCTCCTGTCTGTTTTCTATTTTCTTTTCAAGAACTTTAAAGTATAAGAAATCAAAAAGAGACTCGATGAGCACCGCGGGGTAGCTTGGCTTAGCCTGAAAGGTTTAATAACGAGGTTCAGAGAAAATTATTCACTTTCTTACACAAAAATGCTGAACTCCACATTACAATAGAGGTAGAAATTATGAACATGATATCGATAGCTGTAATGCTCATGATTTTCAATTAAGCGTGAAATGTGTGCATTCTGTGAATGATGAGAAGACAGTTCTATAGTTTATCATGCTGATAATCTTCACTTGATGAGCCGTTTCTCAGCTTCAGCTGATACTAGCAATCCACAATTAATCATCAGTCTTACTCATTCAATACGACCGTTGCGTTGATAAGGAAGATCGTGATTGAAGCAAATAATTTGAAAATTCCAAACATTAAACCCTCAGGATAAGATCGCAGAAAGAGTTAATATATCATGCAGTTATAACAGTTGACGATAAATCCCAAAAAGAAAGTATAAGAGCAAAAATTACCTCTGGAATTTTCTTTTTTAGTCAATACGAGTTTGTATTCAGAGATATGGATTGCCTAGCCTGAAGATATGGGTCATATTTTGCTTATTGAAGGTTCAGCATAGCAATATTAATTATCTAGTGGGTTATAATTAGCCCCAGAAGGTTTAGTTAACATGCATGCTTTTTTCAATTTACGTCTATGGCGTTTAAGGAAGAAAGAAAATAAGCTTTTGTCGTATGCCGAAAGTAAAGGACGACAGATTTTATTCTAATCATGCCTAAACACAGGTGGTTAAAACACTATCATTGGTGCTGTATTCTAACGACCGCCAAAATTGAGAGGAAAGATCGTCCTCAATCAAAACAACATAAAGTTAGAACCATCTGTTGTACATGTCATGTTTGACGATTCCTATTTTTCTTTTCTTTATCCTATTATGTGTGCGATATTAATACACAAGCTGTGATTTATCAAATTGTGACGAATAGGCTGTGATGATGAGAGTGAAACAGTAGAGTGCTCAAGCAAATGAATTGATTGTCGTCGAACGCCAGTGACCACTCTTGCATTAGTAAAGTAATTATCCTTAGTGGGTAAGTGAACTAAGAGTGAAATTCTTACAACATTTGCTCGTTGCACATACACACGAGTTCACTTGATTCGGGGCAAGTTTTTTGTTGTTTCCTAAAATATTTCTCTTTAACATGACGAGAGAAACTGAAACGACCTCAGTGCCAACTTGTAACATTCTTTAGTTCAAGTACGAATTGAATGTCAAATGTAACTTTAGACATCTCTTAAACTGATAATATCGGACGAACTCTACGTGGAAACGTACTGAGAATTTTAGGGGGGAAAAATTTCTGCCGAGGGAAAAGGCTATGCGGCGGTATTGAAGTGAGTATTTCTTCATCATTTCATTTAGGCCAAGGTGGTAATTAAAAATTAAGGACACCCAATCGTTAAATTTCTTCAAATGGTCGCGTGTGAATTATAATTAGCACTTTTCCTCAAGTCACGAATATAGCTCAATAGGGTATCACCTTTCGTCAGAACTACTCTGTTTCACTTCTTATCTTTCGTCGACATCCTTAAAGTGACGTAGTATGACAGGTTAGAACCTTTACGAAAGAGTATAACGTTATCGCTATTTTTTAGATCAAGGTTATAATGCATAATTATTACATACATCTTAACGAAGTGTGGGGAAATACGTCGTTTAGGTAGAAGTCATTCTTGTTTGAAAAGTGGTTATCAATGAAATATGGCATTATTCTCACACTCTCCACGGAATGATTTCGGATAGATATATTTCCTGAAGATGGTTTAGAAGTAGGCGTTTTTATACTTGAAGAAATGAAATACAAAAAGTTTTTAAATCTACTGTTATTGGACCCATAGAGAAGTCACCTTTTACATCTAAAAAATATCGTCTCAATTTTTGTCATACAATGTAGTTCGATAGTTTTGGTGTCGCAAAGTAATCCACAGGATCCAACTTGTTTTCCTCAAGCCTGTTTACTTTTAGGAACAAGCAAGGGAGAGAATGTTTGAAATTTGAACGTTAACTTCTGTTCATTCCAAACGGAAACAACATTTTAAATCCTCACGGTGTAAGGATGCAGGGGCATCATTGTCAATCGTAGGCATGTACCTTTTTTTGTGTCTCTGGAATATACTCTAATATACCAAGTTTTTACTTTATTCACTCTTCCGAGACATTTTCAGAAAAGAAAATCTCGCCACTCTTAATTACATGTTCAGCTAAATTGAACATTATTTGTCACAAAGTAGACTTTTGCGCTCTTCTGACTAACAAATCTTCTCAGTTTCGAGCGTTTGGTCACCTGAACTAATATCTTTTAGGATATTTGGTGTGAATTCTAACCTTAGAGGGTGAACAGTCAATCAGAAAAAAAACTTTATAAAGTGTTGATCTTCAATTTCTGTTTTCAAAATACAATATCCATCATAAGTAAGATAACATGGCGATTGATTCGTAACAAATGTTAATATGGACGGCTACGTGCATACTCTCACGTTCATTTTATTTGTTTAAAAATACCCACAGCATCGATTCTCAGGTAACATATGACGCTTCGGTCGTGTCGAATTAGGTAATACCCTTGTTTGAGTTGCACAACATATCAAAATATATCCTGCCCCGCTAAAGGAAGTTTTCAACAAATCCTGACACGGAAATACGTGATGGTCTGCAGGAGGTAGGCCTAGAGCAAAGATCTTAATCATTTTTTCACCACTACGTGCAAGAAAATAGATGCAGCAATCGATTGGCTGTCTCCACCAGATAACTGACAAGTAAGCAAAATTAAAGGTTGATTTAAATTTCGATCCATCAACACCTTTGTATTTTGGGTTTTTTAAGACAACATGTGTGGACTTCAAAGGTTTTCCGAAAATTGCATTCCAGTCAAGGGCGCACGTCATGTAACTTTTTTACCTTAAAGCAGCATGGTAACAGTAACATCAAGGAAACTGAAGTGAATTGTGGTCTATGATGAAAAATAACTCTTGTGTTGCTGTCGTTCACGGCGAGTGACCACAAACCCAATAGCACCGACTCGTTGCTAGTCGTAAATGATGATTCCAAACTGATTTAAAAAACATATGATCTTCTCAGAAAGTTGTTGGGCTTACTTGGGTGCTACATGAACTATACAAACTGACAAAAGCTATCTATAGGGAAAAAAACATAATAATTGAAATTATGGGCAGCTATCATAATTTATCCAAAGATGTATTTTTTTTTTCATATTTACTGGTGTCAGCAAAACCTTCTATTAGGCTCATCTTGAACAAAAAACTTGAGACTTTGAATTATCATATGAAAAAAATCTTATCATTCACCTTTTCCAATCCAAAATTCACACTTTTCGCAGATAATTGAAAAGACCTGACAAAGACAAAGATGACAAATTATGTAAGTTTTACGGCGCTTTGCGTAATATCGCGCTGAGCCATCTATGGATATAACTTCATGACAGTGCGCTTAGCCCTGTCTAGTTCTCTATCTCAGTAATGGCGTGCCTACATGCTTAGTCTATATACAATGTATGTATGCACGATGTGACGGCGTCACATTAAAGTAAGCTCTATATGTATGACATGTCGTGACTTCTGGCGTGGCACTCTATTTGTATGGCGTTACCGTTTGCTCAGTCACACAAATATACATGTACTGGCGCTCTCGCATTCTTCATGAATGTGGAAAACTTCATAGAGGGAATTTTTTATGCAGAATGGGTACCGGGATCATGCAGTATATCAAAGAGTCCAGACTCATATATAAAATTAATACCCTAAACTGATGCGTCCGGCAGGCAGAACGAGAGCCGTCTGGTTCTGGTTAGAGACATTGGTAGCAAATAGCTGAACAAGAATCTTGAAATTCATCGAAAACAATGCGATCAACAGTCATTCACGCCTTTCAAATTCATTACGATATGATGCTCGAATAAGCAGTCATTTTGCTGTTGAACTACAAGTTCATGAGTTACGGCAATATTCCCTACTGAACAAAAACGCGCGTAATCTCGCCGAATAAAACCCAACCGGTTCACACGTAGCCGCCAATACCATCCAATTAATTTTAGTACTGCAACTAAAGTGTCGTAAGAACAATGGACAATTCTCAATTAGATTTTTGGTTAGCAAATCAACCTTGATTCTTTTCAAAAGCTTTAAAGTTGTTTTCTCATTCGTTTTTATGTTGGTTTTATCGCAGGCAACGACACCACTATGGCAATGTGCGGAGGTAGAGGGCAGGGGGATTCTACAGTGTCATTACAAGCAACCTTAACCCTACTGTATGCAATCATCTTTCCCATCGCTCTTTTGGGAAACTCGCTCGTTCTGTATGTCGTATTCAAAAGACAGAGCATGAGGAACGTGTTGAACCTTCTAATTGTCAATATGGCAGTTGCTGACCTTCTGGTAACGATCTTCGTTATACCTTGGTCTGTATCCTATCTCTTTGTGGGACTTCAATGGTTTGGAGGAATCTTCGGCAAGATTCTCTGCAAGACGATCCAGTTCTCTTTAACGACGTCGATCGCAGCGTCAGTGATCACACTTATGGTTATCACAGTGGATAGATTTCTGACCATCGTGTTTGTTTGGAAAACTTGTCTTAACCTGAGAACTTCAAAAGCCTCTTTGGCTATTATCTGGATTATATCGATTGCCATCATGGGACATTATCTTAAAGTGTTCACAGTCGACCAACCACTAAAGAACATGGGAGACGAAAACTATTACTGTTACCCCAACTGGCAGACAATGCCTGATGACTTCGACAAATACTTTAATGTTGTTGCCTTTGCGGCGCTGTACGCGTTTCCCTTAATTCTGATGGCAATTCTGTACTCCTTGATTATTCATAAATTATGGAGCGAAAGAATTGCAAGCGGAGGCGACTCAGATATTAATAGCTCCAAGAAACGAGTGGTAAAGATGCTGATAACAGTAACACTTGCCTTTGCGGTGTGTTGGCTCCCTATGCACATCATACACTATTACATACACTTTGAACTCGAGACATTTACGTGCATGTCAAAGTATCTGATTTTGCTGTCGTTCTGGCTTGGACATGCCAATAGCGCCATCAATCCAGTACTTTACGTGATTTTCAATAAGACCTTCCGCCGGGCGTTTCTACATGCCTTGCACATCCAGTCGTTCAACAGTATCAACTTGAAGACTTCCATTGTACGGGTAACATCAAACAGAAGGCCTTCATCGCCCTTTACACCAACTAGGAGCTCTTTCATAACCGGAAATAATAATGAGGAAAGCCATCCCCATACTCCGCCTATCTCACATTCGCGATCTCTTAAAGAGATTTATGCCTATGGCAAACTGATACAACGGAACGACAACTCTAAATCATCTAATTCCTGCTCTGATGACGGCAAGACAAATCGTCGCTCCATAATGGTTGTAATGGACAGAATGACAAGTGTCTGAAGTAAATATCATCAAAATCAGGACATAGTAAAACGGTGAAATGTCTGAAGTGCTGTAATTATTAAGATGAATTCGAAACCTGATCATTCAATCCTGGGTTTGAAGAACAGTAGGATTAGAAGTATCTAGCTGTAGTTTCTTGAAGGATTGGACTTTGTGTTGCAAATTTTCAGTGCCTTAGGTGGACCAGGTGTAACATTTTGAGAATGTATACAAAAAGGCTGGGTCCGTATAAACCAACTTAAAGAATAATCATCGACAGCTAAAGGCAGGAATAAGATTGGCTAATCATAGGGGTACTCTGCATCTTATTCAAACATTAGTTCAATTAACTAGCATAAAGTACTGTTTACTTTTGACATTAGAAGAGTGCTTTAAATAACAGGTGATTTTTAGGGATACAAGTAAATACATCGAAAAAGTTAAGTGTCGCTAGGTTGACATTTTGCGACTACTAGTCTAAAGAAATAAAACACTTGAATATATAGAGCTAGATTGTACTTAAACAACTCCATTAAAATAATAGAGAGCTGTTTAATTTCGAACCATTTGTAAATTGACCATGCTCCGAAGCCCAGATATGCTTCTCCCTGTTTCAACAGTGGCATGAGTACTGATGGTGCGCATGCGGACTGAATGGCAAGTTAACAATAGCGGGCACATTGATATGAGAACCAAGGTGCTATTTAGTAAATCAACGGAACACTTCTTTCTTACCAGGTTGTTGGTCGGTTCGTGTTCGTCTTATTTTAGCATTTTTTTCCGCGTTACATTTCAGGGCCGGGTCGTTCAAAGCTGGGTTAAGATCGATAACCCAAGATTAGTGTGAAATTTGATTTCAGATCTGAAAGCTTAAAAAAAGATCTAGCGTAATTTTTTATTGTCTACAATGTTATGACTGCATGCTCTAAAGAGTATCGAGAAAATTACTCCAAACTGGCTATTGCACAAAGGAATCAAAGAAAAGGAGAATAAACTTTAACCTTGGGTTAGCGCTAATCAGCTGTGGAACAACTGGGCCCAGAATATCCAGTATTTGAGGTCAACAATTTCACTTAGTCTGATCCCAAATCTAATAATCCCAAAGTGTAAGGCAACAAATTTGAACTCTGCGACTGGATTAGGGACCAGGTTGAAAGATAGGGACCAGGCTGAAATCACCGACTTCATTTATTGATGGCGTAAGATACATTGCTAGTTACCTTGCTCGTTGAAATTTTTCGATTTTCGAGTTGCATCTGAGGAGTTGCTTGTTGTTGAGATGTTAATCTAATGTTTAGCTGTGACAATTAATAGACCAGCTAAGGTTGTGTGGAACGTTTCGCCATTCATAACATCTTTGAGATATGAAAGAGGAAAAGATGACAACTTTTTCTATTATTCGAGACAATGGAAATTCTTTCACCCTTTCACTGTACGTAATACCTGACCTAACAATGGCTTGGATCTTTGATGCTCATAGAACGTAAATTTTGAAGCGCTTTTAAGGTTAAAATATAATTTTGCCGTTGTCAACGGAGCTAAAACAAAAACAAAAACAAACAAACAAAAAAAAAGAGAAAGAAAGAATAACCTTTCAAATAATTTTTAATCCATGTTCTCTCCCAAAATCAAAGTAAGAAGTATATTTGAGCAAGATTCGGCACATTAAGTGGTCAACCTGGTATAAAGTGGCGTTGTATATCATTTCATTCGAATACTCCTAATTTGTGGAACCCGTTTTAAGTGGTCACCCCACCCGTGGGTGACGGCTTAATACAGGTTCAACTGTATATACCAATGATTGTTTTACCCTTTACGAGTGCCTATACCAGCTTTACCTATACCAACTTTTGACGTCCTTGTTACCGTTGCCCATTCTCTCGTAGAGTTGTAAAAGCAGCATCACCCAGAATCTGTCACGTTTATCAGCCGTGGTCACGGCCGGCCCGTAACCTTGGGAGAGCAGCGTGGTCGACGATCTCGAAATTTACATCTAGGTTATCTTGGTGTTTCAACCAGAAACTTGATTGTCAGCTTTTACACCAATGGAAACTTTTTTTCGCAAGAATGTCTACCGCACACTAAAACCAACAGCTCGATCGATAACGTTTGCGTTTATTGTGTGACTCGCTGCAAACCCCCTAAGGCCGACTTATTAACCTGTGTGGCTGTCCCGTAGAATATTTTTCTTTTACGTTTACTGTCAATGTTATAGAATAAAAAGCATTTTTTTGAGGTTATCAGGTGCTTATCTAATTATGTGATTTTTAAGACCATTATTTACCATTACGGTTGGTTTACGGAGAGAATGTACCGACCAACAGCTTTGTTTACAATGCACCGATTAATAGCATTTCCTACGTAAATAAGATAATTGCAAAGACTTATTAGGATGAATGCCGACCACTGCCAAAAAAAATTCGATCAGTACTCTTTGTGAGATCAGTTTCAAACGGTGGAAAAGAAGCTGGGGGAATATCGTTTCCTCACTGATAAAAGCTTGTCCTTGAAAGTAGTTATTCAAGCAATGAAAAACGCTCTTGTGTCACGCGAATCTATCCAAAAACAAATCCATTACAAATGATTTTGTCGATAAAACGACGAGGAGGTCATCATTATGGGGTCATAATGTAGAGCCAAATTTTCCCTAAAAGTCGCAATTTAGAGGAGCGTGATTCCCTGTAATGACCTGAGTGTACAACATTCCCTTACCCAGAGAGCATGATCTTCCTTTTTCTTTCGTCTCTGTCATGTGCAAAGATGAAAAACTTCTAGTTAAGTGTTTTTAACAATAATCTTCAAACTTTGAGAGCTAAATACAAAACTAAGTAAACTTAAGTATAAGAAATTTGTATAACAAAAAATGTCAGGGACAAAGAGTACCTAAAATTAACTCGTATTTTACGTAAGCCCTTATGATAACTAGCTTCGGATTTTTCACTTTGAGTTATAAATTATTTTAGAGCTGTCAGATATTACCTCAAACTGTAAAATCGTTGGGTAAGATAGATCGACCGTGGGAGATCAAGCATTACTCATTTTCTTAACCGCTTGAACAGATGAGGAATCGAGTGTGCGATAAACAGGACAAGCAGAAATACGTGTTTGATATGATTTATGGTGTCAAAGAAAGTGGTGATACAAAATTGGAAAGGGTTTTATTTACAATTAATAATCTCTTTCAAAGTGCATAGATATATCAAACGGAGAATTCAAACTTCACGCTAAAGCTAAACAAAGCGAAATACAATAATAATGCTGTTATTTACAAATTAATATCCCTCCCACATGCTATATTTCACTGTTGCACTAATCATCTCCAGGCTTTATGTGCAAGTGTCGAAAGGCAAGGTTCACTGCCACTACATTACTTTAATACACGAGTATTCCCTGATACATCTGCACTTTTTAAAAAATGAAAACAGGCTGACGTCGGTTATCAAGTAAAGCCAACATGTTATCATCAGTGTTATAGAACTCTGCGAGAAAAGTTGTCGCAAAGATCCAATATAAAATTTAGATTTCACCCTTCCTCATGTGAGGTCTCGGTTCCAGCGAAACCTTTCAATTTAGTTATAAATTATTAATTAAGAGGTGTTTCTTTCCAATATATGAAAATAAAAACAGATGATTGTAAAATTGGAATTTCGCTCGGCATTAGTAAGCGAACAAAATTTAATTTGTTTCATTCTTTTCTGTTCAATATCGCTGTGGAAATTGGAATCAGACTATATCTAAATGCTTTCAGCGGGGGTAATTTCCATAAACCCAAGTTGTCAACAAAATCACGGTAACATTTTATCATCTATAGTAAGACCAAGAATTAAACATGCCATCAATTTAAATACCGGAAGGATATTCATTCCTTCCTGCATCCTATTAAGTTCTTTACCCAAAAAAAGAAAGAGATTACGACAAAATTAGAAATAGTCGCGATTCCATGAAAACCACGGGTACGCCTGGCATTATTGTCTTTACTTTCTTCTTGACATATTTTTGAGGTTCAAGTGAAGGCACACTCCTTAATAAGGTTATCTCATAAAATCATCATGAATTGTTCGACTATTGACTAAAAAAACGGACGGTGTTTCCTTTAAGGCGGCTGATGCTGGATCCGGCTGGCCTTTCATCAGTTATCTTTTTACTGATCAAATAAATACAATCAATTTAAACTCAAATTTTGACTTTTCTTCTTCTAAGACAAGAATTTGATATCACGACGTTTCGAGGTCAGATTAACTTTTCAATTGAAATCTAAGTTACTCTTCAGTGTCAGCACTGTGTTCATCACAACCACATTTTACGCACCAATGAGATTAATTAATTATTCATTTAATTTCGGTGGTGCTCATGAATACGTGTTATTCATGTGTAGCACTAAGAGAGAACAGCGCAGGAATAGTCTTCCAAAACTTCGAAACGTTTCATATGTCACATTAGCATCGAGTAAAACGATTTGTCAATTCATTTGGGCTTTTCAGCGACCTACAATCAGCTCTAGCTTTTCGCTGAAGCAAAAGAAAAAACGAAGCAATAGAAAAACGTGCTATTACAATCAGATATATACGCACAGCACAAGTTTTACCGTGTACCACCATTTTCGGCGCCCCCCAGATTTTCTAACTGCTTTATCGTCGTTCGTTTTGTCAGCGGTATTTGTTCACTTTTATCATTCCAGAAATTTGCAACACATTGAATAGTTGCCTTTCTTAGTAATTCTCGAAAATGCCGACTATACATAAACCATACCCACGGATTTATGGCGCAGTTGACATGAGCCAACCAAAAGAAAGACAACGGAAGGGAGGCAGGGAGACGACAATAACTGTCTGGGTCGAACGATCTTAGCAAATGGTTGACATGGACAGGTAACCAGCAGATTGCAAAAATTGCAACTATTGCAATGATCATGCGTACAACACGTTGGTTCTGCTGAACAATTTTTGAACGAGTATTTTTCCTCACAGGCAGTTCACTTCGTCGATAAATTCTGTATGTAATAATAGTATAACAAAATATCATAAGAACTAAGGGAAGGAGGTAAAAGACGACAAACTTTGCCATCTCTTCGATCCCCAAGATCATAAGGTGCTTCTGTGGGTTTTTACTCCATTTCCTAATGCAATGACATTTGCCATCTGTGCCCTGTTCAATTCTAAAAATGTACAAATACGGGATACAAAATAGTCCCGCTAGAACCCAGATCAGCGCCATGGCGTATTTAATACCTTTCTTCGACAGTGGCCTTATAGTCGCGTGTGCTGCCATGAAGCGGTCTAATCCCATCACGACAACGGTCAAAATGGAGGCTGCTACGGAGAACCCCACAGCAAAGTATGTTATCTTGCAGGTTAGCTGTCCAACGATGCCCGAAATCCAGAGTCGTCCAACCGTCAAGAACGACATAAACACTAGAGAAGCCGATGAAGCATTCATGATATCTGCAATCGCCATGTTGATTATTAAGAAGTTGAAAGGAAATTTCCGCCTCGATTCTTTGTCACCGTATACAACTCGAATCAAGAGAGAATTGCCAAAAAGAGAAGAGAAGAGCACCAAGGCAAACCCCATGATCACCAGAGTTTTAGTGGTGTTGCTTGCGCTTTCAATTGCGCATTTGGTGTGTAATTTACCAGTAATATTCGTTGCAGAGTCATTCGTGGCGTTCATTTCGACCTGCGTAAGGTAAAATCAAAAGCGATAATTGAAGAATCAATGGCAGACTCTGACAACTGACATGACGAACAAGTCCAAATTCACACATTCTTAATAAGAACATCAATATAGAAGCAATTAGTTACAGCTCTTTGGACGACAAAGTTATCTCCTAGGAGAAGAATTTACATTTTCTTTTTTTATCGCGTGCGATAAGTGGTTTACAG